CCGTGCCTCCCCCTCCCACCCCATGAAACTCACCTCGACCATGTCTAATCGTGTCTCTTCATTTTCCCCTTTTTTTAATCCACTGTTTGTTTCTAATTCCGCATTCCTCTTCACCGTCTTCATTTCATATCATCCTTCCTCAGAAGCTCAAATTAATTCACACATACAAGTATAAACTCGATTAAGTCTGACTGATCACACCAGATCTTCTATTTCAATAATCACCCTTAGACTCGCGTAAATAGCAAAATTTTATTGCATTATATTGAAAATGGGATAGTTAAATTAATGACAAGTTATTTTCGTTTAATTACGAATATGGTGTTATTAATTATTAATACTGAATTAGATTGAGTAATAATTGACGAATGCGTGAAGTAAAATGGGGGAGAGAAGAGCTGTGAGGAGTGATTAATTCCCTAGACTGTATTTTTCACCCGTAGATTCTCCAGTGGAGAGGCGTAAATTCGTATCATATGAAAATGAAGACAGACGATTTGCGACAGCGGGGACGGCAGCGCATTATTTAGACCAGCCAACGCTTGAATTTATCTTTGGGTAAAATGTGGGGGCTAGACTAACACTAAGAGTTATAATATCACCCTGGAAGCATTATGAGAGGCAGTGAGATATCATTCTGTCGCAATGACTCACTTATCCCAAGACCCACTGAATCGGTTGAATATTGTGCAGTGAATGCAGATCGATACATTAATTGATATGATCAATAATAATTGAGACACCAGAGTAATCACTTAATCGTCGACATCCCTTATTGACGCATCGGAATGACATCGAGCTGTGGTTTGTCCTGATTAAAAAAAAAAAGCGTGAGAAAAAGGTGCAATAAATCTCATATGAAATTGCGTAGATAAATACATGTATTGAAAATAATTCTAGGTAATGGCTGCATCGACTTCCTCGCAGTGCAATTGCAATTCGAAAGATAGGGCCCTTCCTGGTGTCGCGAGGGCAATTGATGCAATCACGCATCTCGTGGCTGTAAAATGGATAACAATGAGAACCAATGAAATTCATTTCCCAGTGGATCATCGTAAAATGGAGAATTAAATTGTATCTCATATAGTTTCTCAGGTGGAGATGCACAGGTGGAGTTTTCCCCCCCGTCTTCGATGGTCTTCGGTGAGATTCTACCGTGTAGTGCATATTTCTATAATTATTGCCGGTGTCTCTTTGATGTTGGTTAACCAAATGGCCAGGAGACGGGGCAAACCGTCTGCCAGGGGTACAAACACCACGGAGATGCGTTTCCTCTTTGCATATTCCTCTCTTCCGCTTCGTTAATTCACAATCTACTTCTTTAACGCAAAAGAGATCTCTCTCGTATCATTCCAATGCGTCGAGTTGGGGCCTCTCAATCGATAACGTAAGAAATACCACACGCTTTTGCACTCTCCCCAGGTTCACCCGTTAATTGATATTTTGATTTGTTATTGGTGGGGATATCGGGGATAATTCTTGCAACACCTGTGGATAATCCGGTAAAAATATCGCGGATTCTTTCATTTTTATCTTCTATTTTTCAATTTAACAGCGAGATTTTTTTTTACTTTGATAATTTAATAATGAGTGGCAGAATGGGATCTAGTTCCAGTGGAAATATCTAGGGGCTGACCAAAGTTCAAGGATCCTTTTTCCTGTTGAATCTCTTTTATCATCGTTTATCTTCGCACATCTGTGGCTATAGCTAATGGCCACTCGTTCATCACAGCGCACATGTCCGGACACAAAATATAAATGCACCTTCTATTAATTCCTTGTGTTGAGATCCGTTGTGGATGTAAAAAAAACCATGGCGAGTATTCCGGTTCGACCACCTTAATGAATATGAATATTATAAAAATAACTGTATTGAAGGCATTACTTATGACATATGTATCTATTTCTTCAGGGTTCGCCTTCCTTTTCCATTTAATAAACTGAAGAGGAGTTCGTGGGATGTAATGAACAGGTACACGCCAGAGACCCTTTCGTTTTCGAAGGTGCCTCGGTTTTTTTCTTTTTTTTTTTTCATTTTGTAGTCGTGGGCGTGGGATATAGAAATGCCGCCGACAGATTTGTTTTTTTTAATTTCCACTTTACGGGGGCTGGAGAGATACCAAAACCTGTATCCAAATTTCCCACTGTCGTTCTTCATTCTCTCTCATCTCAATATTCTATATTCATTTTAAAATTCATTTCAGATACGAGATCGTTTATGTGAGAGGTCTGCCCTGTTAGTTTGGTATTTCTTAAATAGTGATGAGACAGCGCCGAACCGGAATTGAAATAGTAACAGGAAAATCTATCTGGTCTGAACCATCTCCAGCCCTTTGGACGTTAATTAAGTGCATCAATTAACCAAATAGGAGTTTTATCGCGAGGAGATAATTAGGAGATAGAGGAGTTGATGAATCCAAATTCTTCGGCGGTAATTTAAAAAAATGTGGGACAGTGATGGGGTAATAATTCTCACACATTCTCGGTGTTTGTTGAGGGTAATAAGATATATTACATAGTCGCGGTATGACTCGGTGGATATGAATATGAAAATACGGAATTTCGGATAATTGAAAGGTAACGTGACACCTGTGGCCTCTCGACCCGAAGCTCAACGATTTTACTTAATTCACATGTTCGATGCGTGAGTGTAATATATTTCCAGGTAATTTTCGTTGGGTCGATGTTGAGTTGATTGCAATCGTCCATTTGCCCTTACCAATATGTATATACTCGTACTTTCCTCCTCACAACCGTATCGTCTACATTTGACTCTCACTTCTTAGTGTTTAACGCGGTTCTAATTTGCGCTCAGCGGGAACGACGCCAACTAATGCGACTGTAGCCCACGCGCCAGGAGGGAAATACTCTTTTGTCTTTGCTCATCAATCACGCCCTGAAAATGAAAGGCTCTCAAATCAAGTGACGCGGTAGTGTCGCCCGCCTAGTTGTGCATTTTACTGCACTTCGTAGTGGTACGGGATTCCCAGCCAGATGGCGGGTTTTTTCAAAAAAGTAACAAACGTCTTTGTGATTTTATCACGATCAATCAACTGAAGTCGAAGTCATCGAGACTGTGCTATAACATATCCCATAATGTAAAATGAAGAAATTAAATCGATCTCGAAATATCTGAAATATAAAAAGAGTGAATTTTACTGCAGGGGTGACATTTCCGGATCTTTGATTATTTATTTTTTCCACGTGTCTTCAATAAACGATAAAATTTGGTATAATAAATCGGTTATAAATATTTAATAATATTAACGAGATAATATTAATTTGATTAGATTAATCGGAAGGAGAGAGAAATCCCAAGAAAAACGGGAAAAAAGGGAGAGAGAGAAGAGATGAAGACATTCGCTGAGAATATTTACAGCATTCATTACAATATCATGAAACTTTCTCGTTTGCTTGCTATTAAAGTTTTTTTTTTTTCTTTTGTAAACAGATCCTTCCACTTCAGTGAATTTAAATTGGCCATGGGGTAGATCCGGTGGACTGTATGCGTGACTAGATGAATTTTGAAGAGATTGAAGGAATGATTCTGGATGTTTTAGCAATTCCGAGTCAAACATATGGTCAAAATTGCAAAATACCGTGCATTATAAATTCAGGTGCTATTATGTATTATTTAATCTCTTGAAGATAACCGCGCCCGACTGGTTCGATGTTAACGTATGCTAATCATTTGTAATTTAACAAGCAAACGGAATCGCACTCTCCGTTCTTTAAAACTTGTTGCTGATATTTA